ACAACAACAACAAAACAATAGTAAAAAAAACACCCACAACCACAACAACAAAAACAATAGCAAAAAAAAACACCCACAACCACAACAACAAAAACAATAGCAAAAAACACCCACAACCACAACAACAAAGACACACCGGAAAACTACAGAAGATAGAGCATTGCCAGTCCTCTCCTTTTCCTTCTAAACCCTCATTTATCAGGCTTTTCTGTGATGCTGAGGATAATTCTCTAAATCATGGCGTGGGAGAGGAAAAGTTGGACAAGAAGAAGAGGAAGAGGGAGAACGAGGAAAAGGAGGAAAAGTACGATAGATTGAACAGGATTGGGCAAGAGGGCGGGAGAACTTTACTGTGATAAGGGAGTGGACCTTGGATGGGGGAGATGGGGGGGAAAGGGGGGGGAGGGAGGGTTAGAGGGGAAATCTAGGGGTGATGGGGTAGGGTTTGGGGGGGGAGGGGGAGAGGGGAAATCTAGGGGTGATGGGGTAGGGTTTGGGGGGGAGGGGGAGAGGGGGAATCTAGAGTGATAGGGTGGGGTGGGGGGGAGGGGGAGAGGGGAATATAGGGTGATAGGGTAGGGTGGGGGGGGAGGGGGGGAGGGGGAATCTAGGGTGATAGGGTGGGGTGGGGGGGGAGAGTAGGGGAGGTGGGAGAGGAAGTGAGAGGCGTTGGGGGTGTAGAGTTGGATAGAGGGTCGGGGGGAAGGAGAGGGATGGGGATAAAGTAGGTGGAAGTCGCTCCTTTCGAAAGCGAGATTGCAAGAGCAGAACGAAAGGAGGGGAACGAAGGAGAAAAAGAAGGGAGGAAGAGAGAGAGAGAGAGAGAGAGATAGACAGATAGATAGAGAGAGAGAGAGAGAGATAGAGAGATTGAGAGAGAGAGAGAGAGAGAGAGAGAGAGAGAGAGAGAGAGAGAGAGAGAGAGAGAGAGAGAGAGAGAGAGAGAGAGAGAGAGAGCCAGCCAAACAGAGAGAGAAAGCCAGCCAGACAGAAAGACAAACGAAAAAACAAACAAAGACAAAGACAAATAAAAAAACAGACAAACGGACAAAGGCAAATAAACAGACAGACAACCTAACATACTAACAAACGGAGTACACACACAAAAAAAAGGTTTTAAAGTCAACCGGAATATCCTGAGAGAAGGATTGCAGAGATAAAACCACGGATCGGGTGATGCCGGAGCAGAGGTCAAAAAAGGTCAGACGGGACTTAGGACTCCATAATCCCAGTGAGTGTTCTGAAATGGATTAGTGTCGGAAGGATTTAAGTAATGAAAATAAACACCATTGCTGTTATTGCTTATACTACAAATAATAATGATGATAATAATAATAATGATAATATAATACTACTACTACTAATAATAATGGTGATGATAATAATAATAATGATAATATAATACTAATAATAATAATAATAATGGTGATGATAATAATAATAATGATAATATAATACTTCTACTACTACTACTAATGCTGATGATAACAATGCTAATTTGTTAAGTTGATGATTATAAGGATAATAATGCAATTGATAGTAATAATACTAAAAATGATAATAATAATGATAATGATAATAATAGTGATAATAATAATACTAATAATGATAATAATAATGATAATGATAATAATAGCGATAATTATAATAATAAAGATAATAGTAATTATAATAGTAACATCAACAATAATGATAATGATAGAATTATGATGATGATAATGATAATACTAATGATTATCAATGATGCCAATGAGGATGATGATAATAATGATACCTAATAACAACAACAACAATTATGGTAATGATAATAGTAATAATAATAGTGTAAATGATGATAATAATATTAACAATTACAACATTAAAAATGATAATAGTAATAATAATAATGATAATAATAATAATAATAATAATAATAATGATAATAATGATTATTATTATTATTATCATTATCATTATTACTGTCATTAGTATTATAAAATGTAAAAGTTGTAAAATGATAATAATATGAATGAATGGATGAATGAATGGGAGAGAAACGTTAATGAGACGGACAACCAGACATACAGACCAAAGCAAACAGACAAACAAACAAACAAACAGCCAGACAGACAACCAAAGAGTTAACAAAGGAAAGGGAATCATAACGTGAACGGAGCCACTGACTGAACAGGGCTACACATAACATTCGAGGGCGACTGTGATTGACTCATTCCTTCAAGTGGGAGAGAAAGAAGTCGAGGAGGAGCTGGTGGGTAATGGAAGGGGAGGGGGGGGAGGGGAGGGGAGGAAGGGGAGGGGGGAGGGGAGGGGAGGAAGGGGAGGGGAAAGGGGGGGAAGGGGGAGGAAGGAAACAGAGAGGAGAATGGGATTGGATGGGGGGGGGGAGGGGGAGGGAAGAGAGGAGAGGAAGGGTGAAAGAGTAGATGACGAGGGAGGAAGGGAGAGGAGGAGAAGGGAGGGGAGACAAGGGAAGAAGAAGAAGAAGAAGAGAGAGGAGAGAGAGAGAGAGAGAGAGAGAGAGAGAGAGAGAGAGAGAGAGAGAGAGAGAGAGAGAGAGAGAGAGAGAGAGAGAGAGAGAAAGAAAGAGAGAGAGAGAGAGAAACTGAGGGGGTCTTTGGAGGAGGTGAGGGGAGAGGGGAGGAGAAGGAGGAGGGAGGCTGGAGATGGGGGAGGGGAGATCGCCGAGATACGGTGGTTTAAATTGCTTTAATTTATAACCTCCGTTCAATGTGTAG